AGATCCACAGGCTCCGTGCCAGACAAACACGTGTCCACCTGACAAGATGCCCCATCGTGCAAATGCTACAGACATAGCTCTGCGCGACTGGAACTCGAGGGGGGGGTATTGAGATTGGTTTGTATCGTATTGTTTGATCATTGAGTTTAGTTGGACAGTGGAAAGAAAAAAAAAAGAAAAAATTAAAAGGCAAACGCAATCGATAAAAAGAAAAGAAAAGTTAAGAAAGTCTTTTATGAAAAAAAAAGTCTGGGGCAAAATAGCATTAAATGAATTTTTAGGAAATGGATCACGCAGATGAGACTACGACTGACAAACTTAAAAGCAAATTTGAATTAAAAAAAACAACAACCCCCCCTCCGCCCCCAAACTTAATAATAATAATAATACGTCTTCGCGGTCGCGTACAGGAACAGGGGTTGTCATTGGCAGCAAGCAAATATCGCAATATATGTAGTATTATGTGGTGAACTTGCATTTATGATAATGAGAATAAATGACGTCTTTAATTCATTATCTGAGATTGTATATTTTTTGTCGAAATGCCATGGAAACTAGCCTGGCATTTAAAAAACAAACAAACATATAAACCAAGTGCAGCAGCAGCAGCAGCAGCAGCAGCAGCAGCAGCAGCAACAACAACAACAAAACAAGACACTCGGGCTCAAAACGAGGGCATGAAAGTTCATAAATGGTGTCTTTGAATTGCACCTGTTTTCAGCTTCTGTTGTTTTCAATTTGCATAAAAGTACTTTGAGGCGATCTGCTCACTAAAGCTTCGTGTTTGTTACAGTACAGACCGTGTCCAGTTCAGGTCCGTTAAGTCCGTTTCACCCATTTGACTTGAACGTTTGATTTGAATTGTGGTTTTTACGCTTTGCACTTTTTGCATGTATGATATACCTGTTAAGAATGCAACAATAAACAACTTAGTTGACGTGTTTAAACGACCATGTTTTGCTGAATTATTCTTGATACCAGTTTTTTGATGTGTTAGCTACAAGTGAAAATTTTATAAAATATTTATGATGATACTAGTAGCGAACAACTAGATTTTTATAAATCCAATATTGTTTATTTGCCTTTACACATCTTTAACTCGTTGAATGAATGAGCATTTAACAATCTGAGGAAAACCTGGCCACTGCACAACGAGAACTTCCTGGGTTGAATGTGAGCATTGAGTGAGAAGATTGTATGGTGTCTATCCGATTCTGCGGCAGAACGCCTCAACTGTGGTTTACGAGACGGCACTTGCCTAATCCTGTCTGCTCGATACGTCTTTGCCTCAAGCTTTGTTGTAATGTGCTAGATATCGAAGCTGATTTTTAAAAAATAACTTCTTCCGACAATTTCCCCCCCGAGTGTCGGGGTCACCAGACTTTTGTTTACATCATCGACATCATCACTGCAGGAGAAACGTCCAACGCATGGAGCAAACCAACTCCGTAATAATGTTAGAAGACGAGCAGCTGGATCTTGTGCCCCCGCTGCCTGCAAATTCCAGGCTGATGGGTATACCAACATCATTATTGTATAATGGATCTCGGTTTCAAGGTCACCAGAAAAGCAAAGGCAACTGTTATGATGTGGAAGTAGTTCTTCAAGTAAGTGAACAGAGAGTTGAGAGAGAGAAAGTTGCAAAAGATTTTCAAATTAAATGATACTCATACTGACCGTTATAATTAATATAAGAAATGAGTTTATTGTGATAGAGAAACTTTGCTCCTAATTTCTAGCTCTATAACAGGCTTGCCGCTGCCTCTAACAACCCTGGTGTTTGGATTATACATATCATGGCTAGCTCTATTTCTCCGAACACTCGGGAAAATAAAGCCTGGGGGAAAGGCAAGAGAAAAAGGAAAGGGGGAAAATTGAACAATACCGGACCACTTGTATTATTGCGCCTTGCGTGAGCCAGATTACTTCCATAACACTGCTCTGCGGCGTGTGCTTCATTTCGCGAGAGGAGGAAGGCTAGTAACTTTTTAGATGGTCCGACATTCTTCATTCACATCTTGGGGGTCTCCCCCCCCCCGGACAAACTACTAATGAACAGATATACTGGTCCGAAATTCTTCTTTCCAGTTGTAAGAAGAGGGAAGTTGTTTTTGGGGGTTCCCCCCCGACAACTGTCTGAGATTTTTCAATGAGAGATTAAAATTGATGTTATCTCACGAAGCACTTCTTCTTTTCTTCTTCTATCCCATGGTTGGGGCAACCGTGGGGGCACCATTGCATCTGAAAAACAGCTCTCGCCGTCTATCTTTGTCCTCTGCTTTCCTCAGATTGTCACCCATCGTCTTTCCTGTCCACTCTGTAATGTTGTCCCCTCCCATCTCCTTCTCTGCCTTCTTGTCTTTCTCTTTCCTTGTACGGTTCCTTGCCTTGTACGAAGCACTTGGCCCACCCTAAACAAAGAATGCCGGACCAGACGGGGAAGGGAGAGGCGGTGGCTCGCACACTCGGTCTCGCAATGTTCCACACGCCGTGTTCTTTCTAAGGCCCCGCCCTGCAGGCACGTGATGTGTTGTCCGGCATGCTTCACTGTGGTCCGGAATGCTTCGCCGTGAATGAACGCTCTAGGTTTAGCCTTAAGTGAAGCTTCCCGGACTAGGCCTGACTACTACTGTGTGGTCTAATTGAAGTATCCCGGACCATGGTACGGTTGAGAGAAGGATGCTGTACTAAAAAAATTAGTTTCTGCTAAATTCCATTAAAAGTGCTTTTGAAATTGTTTTTCATTTTAATTTCCATAATTTCCATTCTATACACATTATAAAAATGGCATTACGAAAAATAAGCCATAAATAAACCGCTCATTTAACTGTGCTAAACTCCTAAAATACCTGCAGTTGAGACATAGGCAAAAGGCGGAAAACAGACAGGGTCTCTGAGCTTCTATTCTGAAAGGCCCATTTTCTGGAATTTTCATATATTTAATCTACATATGAGTATCATACATCATTTTAAAGCTTAAAATGTGGGGATTCTGATTACGTAAAAATTTTGAGCAGGAGACGATTATGTAATATCAAAAAGTAGGTCGAGTAGCGCTGACCTACATATATACATGAAATAGTATAATTTACAGAAAAAATGACCCCAAGGACTGAAAACTAGCACAAAGCAGCTGAAAACACATGAATATTGTGTAAATGAACAACAGACACAGCAATAGATCATTTTCATATACACTATTTTATTAGAAAAAACACCAAAGGGAGGTAATTTGTTGAGTTTTATTTTTTTAAATACATTTTAAAGTTAAAAACTTAATAGAAACAAGTTTTAAAACAAAATTGGCCCCAGTGATCAATTACAAAATCAAAAGGAGTCAGTACAGTCCAGGATTAAAAGTCTGGAAGAGGGCTTTCCTGCATCAGTCCCACATCATCTTTCATGTCCGCACACATATCGAGTCCCACCCTTCTGCAGGAACTGGACTGAGAAGCTTCCTATTTTTCAACAACATAAAGGAATCTGTAGAGAAAGCAATAAGTAGTGTAAGAGTTACCAATTAAAGAGCATGTCAACTGTACTCTTTAAGTTGTTTCTATTATATTCATAATTCTAATCATCGGCAAAATCATGATAAGTGCGTATTAATAATAGTAAGTTTAAAAAGCGACATTCAAACATTGTCATTATTATGTGGCATATCATAGTAGTCATCCTGAATAATAAAATTTATAGGAGGAAGAAGTTATGCTGCTATCAAATTTAGTATCTAACTCACCATAGCATAGTCTGTTTTCTCAAGTTTATGTACGCGTCATAAAAACTTCACCATGTCACCCTCCTTGGGTAGCAATGCCAATCGGGCTTTCCCGCGAGGCGAAAATTTGGTCCCCGTTTATGGGCGATTTTGCGGACCCGGTCGAAGCGTAGGTGACTAACTTTGTCAACCTCGGTCTGCTCTATTTCCGAACCAATCCGAATGAAACTCGGCAACCAATCAGAAAATAGGGCAAACTAATGAATGTGGACGTTGAAGTTCGTAAACATAAATTAACCTATACTTTTGGTGTTGGGAACACTGTCGTATCGTGTACACCGAAAACTATAAGGAGTTTGAATTTCAACGCCGAGATGGTAATAGATCTATCTATCCTCTATAGTGTGCTCAAATTTGAACGTTCTGTGTCAAGTAGTTGTTTAGACCCGATCATAAATACACGACTACCCCCCTATCCAAAGCGGCTTCGCACGGAGACCGTCCATTTTCCCCTCACTCTCGTGGCAAATGTATGTGACCTACAAATCCCCGCATGACTATTCCGGGCCCGTTCATTGGTCACTTGAAATAGGGCAATGGCGGGCGCGCGCATCCGGTTGTTTTTCTCTCTATTCCCCTGTAACATCGCTATGGGGGTATTCCGAGGTGAGGTTATCTCGTCTCGGGGTGTTCGCGTCTCAACGGGGAAAAATAATTTTTAATTGTACGGCATGCTAGATTGAATTAACTTATCTTTTAAGGTTGGCATGATCTAAAGTCATCATAAAAAGCTTTGCAATTATTTAGTCACGCTGCCAACATATATTCTCAAAGATCCCATGTTGTGATACGATGCTATAAATAAAATGGACTCATCCCGACACCCCTTTTTCGCAAAATCGTAATATGTACACCACAATTTTAATTATAACAAAATAACTACGAAATTGGTAGTAAATCTGACTGCAGAAATGATTTCTACACTCAAAAACACATCAGGTAGCCAAGTTTCTCTCAAACACTCCGATTAGTTACCGAGATATCGTCGATTTTCTTACAGAATCTGCTACTGCGTGGTCCACTTTTTAGGAGTATTTTCCTATATGTGGGTCATCCATATTTTGCCGACCTTTACAACCCCATAACTTTTTTATTTATGAACCGATTCTCAAAATTCAAGAAGCAGAATTCTTAGAATTGAAAATTCTTTCTTAGGTACCAAAAAAAAGGGGACAAAAGTGAAAATTTAAATTTTCATTGACATTGCTACCTTGGGCATGGTCTCTGCTGGTGATTCCTCAATAAAGGCTTTAAAGAGCACAGTACTGACACTGTAAACAAAAATGTGATTCATACAGTTTGGTTGATTTGCATCATGTGAAAGGCAAAGTGCTGATTTCATTTTTAAGTATGTTTTTGTGAGAAAAAAGTTTCTGAATGGGAAAGTTAAAAGAAGTAGACTCACAGTCATCAGCTCAAAGTCAAAGGTGTTACTTTGTTTTTCTCAGCTTTTTTCTGCTCTGGTTTTTCTCTTTCAGCCTGTGTCAGTTCTCCTGCCTCCTTCCTTTTTTTTCTTATCAGGCTTGGCCTGTTCTGACTTCCTATTCTTTTCCAGAAGAGCTTTGTTATCGTCAGGGTCTTCCTTCTTTTTCCACCTAAACAGAGTCGAGCGGTCGGCCATATAGGCCTACAGATGAAACTGTGTGCAAACGTAAAATGTTGCCCCCTTTGGAGACACCACGCCAATCTCCCGTTTTAATTACGTTGTCCAAGAATAAATAAGAGAACAGACATGTTCCAAACCGAAAGTACAAGCAATGCTATGATGTCAGTGAATTTGCGGTCTCTATCACGCAGCGACGGAATTTGCCGATGACGCGTTGTAGCCTGAAGTCTGAAGAGAAAAATCGAGACACGAAGTCTCGACCTCGGAATAAATGGCCCGTAAACCTAATATTAATGTATATTTTTCGCGTTTTTTGCTTCAGAGAGCTATTACAATGTAAAATACACAAAATACAAGACAATTTAGAAAAAAAGAGAGAATTTTTGTTAGCTTTAGACCTAGCCGTTTCTGTGTCCCCATTGAGACACTAAATCTAGCTTTGTGACGTCACGTGTTCAAACGATGTAAACAACATTAAAAAACCAACTTTTTATGAATAAACCCCAAGAATAATCTCATACATATTTTTTGTATGAAACCATAAAAAAGTCAAAATAAAGAAAAATAAAATGCTTCACTTACCTTAGGGTGTCCAGGTCGGAAACGAAACTAGAACTGTGGTGTCTCGAAAGCGGGCATCCTAGTCGATAAAAAAAAAGGAAAAAAATACAGTCGAACCTGTATAAGACGGCCACCCATTGTCAAGGAGAAAAGTAGCCGTATAAGACAGGTGGCCGTCTTAAGCAGGACTGATCAAGATGGAGAAAACAAATCATTCCTTTCTGAGAAAACAAACCCTCCCTTTCTGAGGTCCCAACCGAAGGTAATTGCATTGTTTTTTGTTTTTGTTGTTGTTTTCGCTGGGTTTTCTTTTCTTTTGTAGCTGCTTTTGTGCACGGGTGACAATAAAACGAAATGTGTCAGACAAGGAGGATCAAGTGCTATGTTAAAACAAACACACGTACTACCACTCGGAGAACAAGCAACTCTTCTGTCACAAGTTCATGCTGACGCCCATTGTTACTTTGTTAAAGACTGGGTAAACAGTGACCACTAATCTCACTTGCGATTTGTGTATGGGTTCTGGGCGGGGCTTATGGGTTATGAGGGATCACACACTTCCCTCCCCAGAAGCTGAAAATTAATTTTGTTACCTATTGGTCAACAGTGGGAGAGGCCTACGCAACATGATCAGTTGGAAGGACTACCTAACAAGGACAGGTTTTTAGATTATGACGGCTCGCCCACAACGCCAGGGGCCAATGCTTGATTTATGACAAAGCGTAATGGAGTCACTAAGGTGGCCGTCTAAGACAGGTGTTATTGCTTGGTGTGATAGGGGTTGTGTGTTGAAATATGGTGGCTGCGGCCGCGTTGGACAGGTGCCCGTTTTACACAGTTAAATTATATAAAAAAAACCCAAGGGGGGAAATGGAAAGTGTCCGTTTGTACAGGTGGCCGTCTTATAGAGATGGCCGTCACGGCAGGTTCGACTGTACTTCGAAACCGAATTTCACAAAACTTTTGCTTTCACAGCTTCGAGAATAGTTGGTCTATCACAAGAAACGTGTATTTTCATCAAATTCCTTTTTAAATTTTACTTATTGTGTTGCAAATGTAGAAAATGCCTTTTCAATGACTTCCGCGTTTCCTGCCAAAATTCTTCAATCTTACTGGGGGGTTGGGGGGGGGGGGGGGGGAATCTTTACCTTGTTTGAAAACAGTTAGCTTAGGGGGCCAAGGTGCATGCACAAAAAAAAAGGGAGTGTATACAGACCAGGTAACTGGGAACAAAGTCATGAAGGTAAGGGGAATCTTTTGTGATTTCGGAAAGTTTCAGCGCCCTCTTGGCTCAGGGTAGACCTAGGTTCTTCAAAGTCTGTGGCCTGATCTAGATCTAGACAGACAGACATAATATAAATCATTGATCTAGTTTTGAGGCCTAGATCTAAATGAAGATTGCGGATGTCTTTTCAATGAGCGATCGTTTTTCATCCGTTTTGGGGTTGGAGGAATCAATAAGACAATTTGAAGAAAAGAACAATGTGTCATAATTTTAATCGAGCAGTCACCCTCTCTGTTTCTCAGTTTCTTTCCATCTCTCTCCCCTCTTTTTCTGCCCCCCCTCCCCCACTCTCTCTCTCTCTCTCCCTTTCTGTCTCTCTCTCTCTCTCTCTCTCTCTCTCTCTCTCTCTCTACTTTCCCACTCTATCTTTCTCTTGTTCCCTCCTGTCCTGTCGACTGGGGCATGTGATATTTGCTAGCACTTCCCCCTGTTCTCTACCCCCCATCTCTCTCTCTTTCTCTCTCTCTCTCTCTCTCTCTCTCTCTCACTCACTCACTCACTCACACACACACACACACACACACACACACACACACACACACACACACACACACACACACACACACACACACACTCTACCGGGTCTAGGTGCTAAAACCTTCTGAAAACACAAAAGATTTCTCCTACCGGCTCTGTATACTTCGTGACTTTGTTCCCGGTGACTGGGTCTATATATACACTTCGCAAAAAAAAATTGCAAAGAGCCAGTGGAAACAGGCAGGAAATGTGAGTAATTCCTACAACTGGTCGGGCGCCATAAATAAAGGTGGATCAAATGATCCCCAAGGGCGCTGATTATGCCTGCTTGTCTCCGGTAGGTTTTACTTCTTTCTGTCTGTCTCTGTTTGTCTGTCTGTCTGTCTGTCTGTCTGTCTGTCTGTCTGTCTGTCTGTCTGTCTGTCTGTCTGTCTGTGTTTCTCTCTCTCTCTCTCTCTCTCTCTCTCTCACTCTCTCTCTCTCTTCTGATTCTCTTATAAATCTCCCCCTTCCTTACTCCATTCATATCAAGCTATGTTTGAATACGCTTTTTATATCATTCATGCAAGTATATAATTTTGCTTGGCAGGGCTTCTTCTGGAAGTGCTGCTGTTGCTCAGTATGAACATAGTATAGTTAGTAAACTTAAAAAATGACAGTAAAAGTAAAAGAGTAAATATAGAATTACAGAGAACAATAAACTCAGAGAAATATGAAGCTCAAATCTTATATCCGAATGCACCATGTCTTGAATAAAACATTCCACAACATTCGATACTTCAAGATTGTCAATGACGGTGTCTTGTCTTAGTGGTACTAGTTTTCGTGGCAGATGACCACTTTGGCTTCTTCTAGATTTGCTAGCTTAACCCTTTCACTGCCCCGGCTTGCTGATTCAGTGGGCCAAGAAGTGCTTCCCGGTGCCATGTGCCCGTTGATTTGGCGGGCCTATGATGAAGTCATTTTTAGTGTAATTTTCCACCTTTTAAAGGGACAAACTGTGTCATGACTAATCCTCATTGATATTACAGTGCTCGTGAATCTGAGTGAATCTGAGCGTCGTTTTCATTGTTTTGAAGAAATGAAGTGTTGACGTTTGAGTTGTGTTTTTTTTTTTTGGAGGGGGGGGTTTTCTTTTCGCAATGGCATCCAAAAGACCAGTCTATCGACCTTCCTTTTTAGCTGCAGAAGTTCTACAAGAAATTATGAATGACTGTAACAGTGATGATGATAATGATTTCAATTGAGTTTCTTATTTAGGGGCTCTATGTGACGCTTATAGTAATTGGGGCAAAATTTTCCCGGCACAGCTATACATGTAGCTCATAGCCGGCAGTGATGGGGTTAAAGTAGTACTCGTGTTTCTCCAACCATTCTTTTCTGTGACTATTGAGTAAAGAGGGAAAATTCCGATGCTTTTGATTTGAGTAGTCTTTACTTTTGCCCGAGTATATTGGCCCAGAATCTATCTTTGTAAACACAACTTTCAGCATTGCAGGAATGGTTTTGCACTGTTATCTCTGCTACACAATGAATGCACACTTTGTGAACTAAACTATTTTCAGAGTGTTTGTATGAGAACATGACACAATTTATTTTATATTTAAGAAGGAGAACATCATTCATCCTCTCTAATAGATCATGAATTGTAATTATCATCTTCCTTAGACTAAGATGTAAAACAAAAAATGAGAGGATAGTTGATATTGACTGTAATTGACATTGATATTATGAATGAGTGAATTGTGGTTAAAACTTCTGTTTCTAATTTCTAGCTATGACCTGTTCAGGGATATCAGATGAGGATTTTGATTCTCATAGAGGTATATCTAATAGGAAGGTTCTTTTCTCCGAATACTTTCCTATCAAGTTATAGCACGAAGAGGTGTTCAAGTATAGCTCATGATTTGTGAATGCCTCATTGAATGCAGATGCTCTCAGTGACACATTTTTTAACAAGGAATGAAATGAATGTGAAAAACATTAAGATGACTTTTACAGTACCTGGTTTTACTGAATTCTGCTTGAAAAAAAAAAAAAGAGAGGTTCAGAGCAGTGGTGATTTGAAGGTCTACCCTATGAAAGCTGTCCCAGAAATAACAAGAAAATGGCTGTAAAATTATAAAGTTTTGTCATGATTGAGATTCAACTTACACCGTTAGTTGGTTAAACATTCCTTTTATGAACCTCAAAGTAATTTCTAGAAACCTTTATTGGAAACAGCAGGCAGCTATCGGGTATGAGAAACTAACTTAGCGATACAGGCAAATCGGCAGAGGAGTATGACACCGATCTCCAGATCTCTTTGATTTGTACAAGGAAATAATACTGTGTAGCATCAGTGATCTGGGAGGAGTCAAGGTAGGCGGCCATAAAATGAACAACCTATGGTACGCTGGCGATACAGCCTTGATAGCTGATTTTGATTCAAAGCTCCAGAAGATTTTAACTAGAGTGGCAGAGAAAATCAAAGAGAAAGACTGCACCTAATTGCCAAGAAAACAGAATGCGTGGTGATCTCAAAGAGTGCTGACATCCCAGAATGCAACATCATTTGTAAGAACAAAAGAAAAGACCCAGGTCAACAGCTACTTAGTTGAATAATTTTTCCAATTGCAAAAAGTGACAGAGAGATTATAAAGTGGATTGCAATCTGAAGAAACTTTCAAGAAGATGGAACCTGTCCTTTCACACTGAAACATAACAGTGAACACAAAGATGAGAACCCTGAAATCGTATGTGTGACCAATCGTTTTGTATGAATATGAGAGCTGGACTCTAATCTAAGAACACAGAGGGAAGACTGGAAGTTGCCGAACTGTTGTATTTAAAGAGAATACTAGAATTTCATTGATAGAGAGGAAAAGATAGAGAAGAGCTCCAAATGACAGGTTGTGAAAGGTCTCTAATCAAAACCATCAGAAAGAGACAACTGAGTTTCTTTGGCCTCACAAATAGATCAAATGAACTAAAGAAACTGCTGCTGTGTCGAATGATAGAAGGAAAAAAGAGCAGAAGAAGGCAAAGAACAACATACACAGATGGCCTCAACAACTTTGCAACAAATGATACAGTGAAAAAACTGAACTGATCAGGACGACGGACGACAGGGAGGAGTGGGGTACCATGATCATCAATGTCTGCTCCAGACCTGACACCTCCAGAAGAAAAAGTCCTCTTGAACAATCTAGTATTTTTCTCATTGCTACATGAGTAAATGCATACCATTTCTGTTGATTTTTACATTCAAGTGACCAAAGTCAGTCTGTTATGTGCTCCCCAAGGTTTGTGTCATCAGTAATTTTCTCCCCAGCTAGATATCACTGCATTGGTCCAAACAGGTAGAAGTTTGAAGGGGCAAGATCAGGACTGTGATCCAAAAAGCTTTCACAAGGTTCTTGGAAGTCACCAGCCAGCCCAGTTCCCATTTATTTCATCATGTGCATTTTACCTGCCTCATGACATTTTTCGATATCCGGTCCCCATTAAAGACTTTGACATGTCACTGTTGGGACAGCCTTTGTATTTCTGTTGTGTTTTTCTTGTTCCCAAAAATTTCCATACACCATTAATTTTATTTCAGCACGTCGATGAAGCTAAAGCATTCCTTTGTGGATATTTAAAGATAAAAGGGCTGACAGAAGAATACCCCACGCTAACAACCTACTTTGATGGTGAAATTATCAGCAGTGGACATCCATTCCTTACCCGTAAGTGGGATGCTGATGAGGATGTGGACCGGAAACACTGGGTAAGTTTTTGATTTTATTAGATGGTCTTAAAAATGTGTAATATTTATGTTGAAAGTGTTTGCCGTGTTTGCATTAACATAAGCCCTCCAAGTGTAGTCAGCTGTAAAGTTGTTGTTGTAGTGCCATGGGCAATTTAAATGGCAGTTATTTTGTTTGTAATTGAGCCGCTATTTCAAATCCATTCCTCCAGTTTTCACATCACTAAATCAGTCCATTTCATCTCAGAAGACTCCTGTTTTTTTCTTTTAAGAAAGTGATACACTGGACATTGATAATACAAATGAGGAGGAAGATTCACAGGTGTATGGTGCTAAGTCCAGATCAACACCTTTGACTAAAGAGTGAATCATCAGATGAAGATTTGAATCTAGATGTAAGGGGAAAATTGGTATTGAGACTCTAAAATATGATCAGGGATAGTTCAATGTTCATACAGGTATTGCCAGAAAAGTTTATCAAATATTAATTGACAGTTCACCCGGTTATTCACTTCATTAAAAAAACCCAACTGTTCTTGAAAGAAATACAATAGTGTCTGCCTAAGATCCCACTGCTTACGGTCCCGGTTCGCCTAAGATCCCGCTGTTTTGGAAAAACAAAATTTTTACTGTGTAAAAGTCACCCCTAAGATCCCGCGCTGAAGGAGCTACATTCGGCTAAGATTCCGCTTTTCTGGTCATAATTTAGTTTTTTTTAAATATATTTATTTAAGAAAAAAAAAAAAGAATAAGAAACCTTAGTGCGCCCAGCTGACCGACCAAGTAGCGAAAATGTGCAATCATTGTACGGCCTGTGGCGTCACGGATCATTCACTCTCCTGAATGCCATCACACCCCTGTTTTAAATGTCAGTAAGTGGTTACGTTTACCCCAGCCGGGATCGCACCAAGGTGGGAACTCGTCGATGCCTTGCTTTCCCCGATCACTTGAGCAGTCCGCCTGATCTTACATCACACACTAGGTGTGGAGGGCCTACAAGCAAGCGTCAGACTGCATTCCACCAAACTGTGAACTCGTGGACGCTTATGTTTTCCTAGCCATCGTTTTCGTCTTCCATTTTTGCGCTTTAACTTACGAGACAGACTGGCACCAAAACTTGTGGACTGTCCAATCGCCTTTGCATTATAATGGGGTCATCTGTTAACAGTGAAAATGCATCATGTCATCTTTTCAAAATTTGTTTGGTGTTGTCACAACACAACGATTTATGAAGCATCATGACATGGGTGAGGAACTCTATCAGAGATGGAAAACAATACTTTTTTGGTGGGGGGCTTTGCTTGGAGCCAACTGGTTCCCTCATGACACAGTATTTTTTTTTTAAAGCCCCACCCCCGGCCCCCAAACAATACAAAAAAGGAAAAATTGACTTCTGAAAATAACTTTTAGTGCCCAGGAGTCACGTCAGTTCATTTTAAAGTAAGGGAAAATCATTGTACAGATTATGGGCCTGACCATGAGTTACTGTGGATTCTTCATTCTGGCCATTCGGCTAAGATCCCAGTTCGCCTGAGATCCCGCATTTTCCTTGCTCCCAAGCACAGGGATCTTAGGCGGAGACTACTGTAATACAAGTGATTCTAGAGATGCAGTTTCATGGGTTTTATTTCATGGATTATTTATTGTGCTGATGTTGCGTTTAAAAAAAAACCCCGCACACTACTTCATAATCTAGTCAGATTGTCCTCTGGTTCTGTACGGGGCTCTCGTGGCCTAGAGGTTAAGGTGTTGGCCTCTCATTCAAAGGTCCCGGGTTCGATTCCGGGTAGCGACCAAAAAATTTTCTTCTCTAAAATTGTCTCCTCTCCCATCCTTTCCTGATCTCTAACAATGTTCTGTTGTCTGCTTTCATTTCCACTTTCTGCCCCCACCCCCTCACCTCCTTTGCCCCCTCCTCTGGGCTCCTGGCTCTTTCTGCAGCCTTTCTACTGCTACTCCTTGGCTCCTCCTAACTGCTGTCTTTCTGCCACACCCCTGATCTTCTGGTAGGAAAGATCTACACCTAGCCTTCTCGGACAAGGGCGAAAAATCTCGGAGGGCCCGTGTGCAAGTTGCGCACGTTAAAGATCCCTTGGTGGTCTAAAATCGACAAGAGTAGGCTTCGGCCGCCACCCGGGCAAAATTCCAAATTTCCTACCAACTGAAAAATATTAGGTGTGTCCCGCGCGCTCATATGACCTATGCAGTTGCGAGCGCCGTAAAACCCTATACTAAACAACTGGTTCTGTACATCTTGTGGTACACGAAAAGTGGATGAGCTTTCTTTTTGTCTTTTTGTTTGTTTGTTTTTGTAAAGTGTTTTACGGCGCTCGCAACTGCATAAGGTCATATGAGCGCGCGGGACACACCTAATATTTTCAGTTGGTAGGAAATTTTGAATTTTGCCCGGGCGGTGGCCGAAGCCTACTCATCGATTTTAGACCACCAAGGGATCTTTAACGTGCGCAACTTGCACACGGGCCCTCCGGGATTTTTCGCCCTTGTCCGAGAAGGCTAGGTGTAGATCTTTCCTACCAGAAGATCAGGGGTGTGGCAGAAAGACAGCAGTAAGGAGGAGCCAAGGAGTATTACAGTAGAAAGGCTGCAGAAAGAGTCAGGAGCCCAGAGGAGGGGGCAAAGGAGGTGAGGGGGTGGGGGCAGAAAGTGGAAATGAAAGCAGACAACAGAACATTGCTAGAGAGCAGGAAAGGAGGTGAAAGGAGACAATTTTAGAGAAGAAAATTTTTTGGTCGCTACTCGGATTCGAACCTGGAACCTTTGAATGAGAGGCCAACACCTTAACCTCTAGGCCACGAGAGCCCCCTCTTTTTGTCTATTTCACATTAAAGTAATTGTCAGGTTTTTTTCTGCAGCTCTTTGATGAGCATACTTTCTCACCTTCCCTACCCCCCCCCCAAAAAAAAATAATTAAAAAAATCTAGTGTTTTGTGTAGGTCAAGGTTTTGGTCTGAAGAAAATGAAAATTTTTTCTTCAGGTTTCATGGTCTTGCCAAACCATTGAGTTTAAAGAGAATGTAATGTTGTAATCAGTTATTGGACCTGAGGTGATGGTTTCAAAATGTTTTCAGGGGTTTTGTGACTCATGGTGAAGTACTCAAAATTTCCTGACTCCTCAAAATTTGTCTCTGGCACTTGGAGGGTTAACATTCAATTTGAGCCGTGAATAATGAAATGGAACATGTTAAAGTCAAAGGAAGATAAACATAGGTAGATTGGGAAAGGTTCTGTCTGATTATTTCACTGGATTTTCACCTGAAAAGTGTCAAGGTTTTTAATGAACTTTGTTGACAGACATCTTCATGGTCTGGGTTTACTTGTCATTATTCCCCTGTTTAAAAAGTCAATAGTTATTTAATTATATCAGACATAGATAACTTTAGCCAAGAACCTATTTGAAAAATACAGTCAAACCTACTGTATCGACCACCTTTTCAAGGAAATCACCTGTACAAACGAACCCCCCCCGAGATGTTTTAAATTTGTAATTGACACTGTCTAGGAAGACCACTTTGCTCCTGGTTGTCTTGGATAGGTTCATCTATAAACTATTTAGCATTTGTTTTCTTTCAGGGGAAATTTGTGTCTTTCTACAACTTCGCAAAGAACTTCAATGCTGACAACTTTGACTATGAAGGGTTGAAATCGTCAGACTATGTGTACATGAGATGGAAGGTGACTATGGCATTTACTGGTTCAGTGAATGTTTAAAAAATTGTAAAAATATTTTCTATATATAAAAAACTTAATGAAATAGGGGAAATGGTTATGACTGCTTATGAATCCGAACGTTCTGTTTTGGGATAATTGGATATGTTTACTATGTACAAAGGAAGGAACTCAGTGAGTGTAGGTTTTATCAATTGAGTAAGTTTTCATGTTTCATTTAGCTGATTATACAGGTGTATGGGGAAGTTGGTGGCGGGGGAGGGGAGGGGGGTGGGGGTGTAGGTCTCCTGCAGGAGTCTAATTAAAAATTCAGAAAATAAGATAATGAATGTTATATTTTTGTGCCTGTCACTGTGAAAATAAAGTAAGCCTGTTGCTTATTGACAGTAATCTTCTTTAGTCTTTATTTAACTTTTTTTATTAGTCTATACAAGAGATTGTGTTATTTTAAGGTTGAGAAATTGAGACGAGTTTTTTACCCTGCTGCAGTCATATTTTTGTGTACTTGTATGTGGTCTTTTGGTCTTTGTGAAAGGTCTTTTTGAAATGTAACTGATATGTAGAAGTTGTCTACTCTGTTACTGCATTTTGTCATATCGCCAGCTGTCTGAGCAACACTATTATATAATATCTTGTTGGTTTTCTTTCAAGGAACATTTTCTGGTGCCAGATCATACGATCAAGAACATCAGTGGAGCTTCCTTTGCTGGTTTCTATTACATTTGCTTCCAGAAGTCTACTGCTACTATAGAAGGGTACTACTACCACAAGCATTCCGAGTGGTAGGTGCTACTGGTGTGCAACGAAAGAAGACTAAAAGCCCATGACATTCAAATGTTTTTGAGTGTTCTATTGTCTACTGGGGTAATAATATTGTGTAAAGCGCATAGAGCTTGCTGTAGAGTGGGGTTATTCGGTATACAAATGCTATTTATTATTATTATTATTATTTAATACTTTGAGACACAGGGTATTAATTTTTAAAGATAAACTTTTGCTATTACTGGTAACTTACTTTAGTCTGTGGGACCAACCTTGAGTTTGTCTGGAAAGCATCTTTTGTGGGATGTAAGTACAGTGCCTGTGTTGCGAGCGCTGTAAAACTCTTACTAAACTAAAACTAAACATTGTCTACTTCACATTTTTTTTCTTGGTTTTAGTTCTTCTTACAGCGAGGCTAGACATCCTCTCATATTCAGCAGTCTATTAAAATGTCTTTACATTGCCATAGAACGTGTCTTTGAGTGGCTCTGGAACTGTCTTGTATTGGGCATTCCTGAAATATATATGTTCTGTTACAGGTCTTTGATGCTGTGTTTATGGGCAGTCTCTGACTGGCTTTTATCAATTTCCTGTACTGTACATATGGTCGCTTTTAAGCACAAGGGGGCTATTCGAAAAAATGCTGTTTTGAGAAAGTCGAAGGTAAAGTTTTGCCCCTTGTTCAGTTTCTTTAAAAGACAGGGAGAGTTGTCTCTATTTATAACCAAACAAATATACACACCAATGAAGCCAAACTTTTCCTATTGGTAGGGCAATGCCCACTTTTGGTGTAGGTCAAAATTTCTGGAAACCCCCGAAATTTGGGTTAGCCCGCTTGTCCTTAAAAGTGACCATATGTGCTTTCAGCCTGCTGTGCCTTTTCTTGAGGCTAAAGAGTATGACCTGTTTCCATCTGTCAGCTTGTATCTTTACAGTCAAGCTGAGTATGGTTGGGATGGTGCTACTTCTATAGCCTCTTGAAAACGGAATCTTAGTTGCCTTTTCATCTTAGTTAGAGATGTTTTTATTCATCTGTTCCAGCTGTCTTGCCACCTTTGCCCACCTGTCTATATTTTCGTTGCCTTACTTTACATGCTGAAAGTATTTTTAATGGGGCATGATCCCTGAAGTTTTTGGGTGGGGGCTTTAAGGTCACTGGAGGTCAAATGTGAACCAACATGTTTTTGTGCAGTTGACCAAATTATGTAGGTTGAAATTGCTCTGTTGACAATTTTTTCATAGATATGGATGCTACCCATAACAATAGACAATCCCAAAAGTGCTGTTTGTCAGCAGTCTAAATTCATCAATGATCCTGTTAATGTTGGCAATTTTTCAAGCTTGTACAAGTAACCTGAATTGTATCTTGAGAGGGGGGAGGGGGGAGAAGAGAAGGATGATGGGAAGGAGGAATGACTGTGTCAAATGTGTAACCAACTCACTATTGTGTCTTTGATTGTGTTTCAGGTTCCAGTCCCTGAACCTGCAGCATGTCCCTGAGAGAAACACGGGTGTGTTCCAGTTCAGATGAATGTATTGTGATGTGTGGTCATCATCATCCATGCCAGTTCAGTCAGGAGTTCACAGGGTCAGAATTATGACAACTTTCCAATTGGCGTGTCTGCTCTCAGGATCTCTGGGAGACGCTGTATTGTGTATCCTCAGAGACTCTCCCACCATAGACTTTCCCAGCTGGACACAAATTCTCTGGTTGACGACCTGTGTGACTTGAGAGGTCCCATGTCCGCTGATCGGAGACTGATTTGTGTTTTCAGCGTATGCTGTGTCATAAAAGGGATTGACTGTGAGTGGTGCGTGACCTGTAGGAGTTTACCAATAGATCTGGCCTCAAGCTAGGGCAGTGCTTATGATAGCAAAATTTTCTTCTCAATATGCAAGCAGCTGGGACTTTTTCGTGTTGCATAATATGCAGAGGTAATTTCTCTCATCTTGTAAACCACAAGTTTTTCATTTTCGACATGATTGGATTCTCCACAGGACAGACAGATCTGATGACTGGAGAGTGCCTGTAGGCTTTTTTTTGGGTGGTTTTTGGCGTTCTATTTGCTCAGTAAGTGTTATGCTAGACTACAATGTGTATAGCCCTGGTTTAATTCCCTTTGGGGAGTTTTTCAACTTAGATTGTTTAGGGAGTCCACTTAGCATGGTTTTATCAGAGATGAACTTTAATTGCAGAGGTCTTGCCACTTAGATAACTTAACGGTACAATGATTAAAGAGATATCAAACCCGTTTTTGGTTGTTTTTTTTAAAGTTCTGCAGCGGAAAAAGTCGTGCTTCCATATGCATGGAGATATTGGGCCTTCTTATTAGGAACTTGTTGACTTTGAGGTAAGGCACAACCCAGACTTGTCAAATTATCTGGTTTGGTTTCAGATCTGTGGTCGATAGGGGTTTTGTGAAGTTTTGTCAGGTTTCCCAGCTCCTGATTCCATTGGATGTGGGATCCGAACAGATTGTCTCTTCTGATAAATATGAAAACCTTGAAGATTCTTTGTGCACTCCATGCTAGTCTTTGACACTTTGGAAATTGAAAATATGATAGAACAAAAATATATGCTTGCCTTGACAAATTTAGAAATGAATCTATCCTGAACAATAAGGCAATATAACGCTGAAATGTTTAAAATGTTACAATCTCTGTCTATGGCATGTGACATCGGATGTTTTAGCTTGAGTAAAGAGAAACACATCGGCATGATAGTAGTTATTTATCATCAGAAAAACAAGACAGACAGACAGACAGAAATGACATGCTCTAGATACTTGGTGTAAAAAGCCTTCCCATCAAGGTAGCAATGTTGTTAAAAATGCCTTTGATCAGGAAGCAAAAGTTCACCAATTTTCCCCAGTGTAACTCAGAGCATTGTATCCAAGTCTGCTGTTGCTAAATCACAAAACTCTTTTGATCTACAAGATCAAAATAGTCCTCGTCTCCACAACTTGACAACAGTCCTACATCAATTTCATCCAGATATAACCTCTGTGTGAAAATTTAATCAGCTTGTTTCACAGTAAAGTGCTTTGGTCTCTATTGATCTTCTATGTTTTACTGAAAAAGCAATTTGTTGACACTTAGGCTTAAAACTCCTTCCAACTCCAATGGCAAAGGCATGCTATAAATAGAAGGGCAAATATAATTTTTCACACTAGTGTCAATATTAATATTAGGAACTGATGTTGCTATTTTAGACAAACCATCCCCAGTGAGCTGACAGGATTGGCTCGACCGCTTAACTTGTTGATGGGGAAGCTGCTGTGGTTGGCTCGATGGAGTTTGATTTCTTGACTGTAATTTAAAAAGTACAGGTAGTCTTGACCAAAGTTTCCTCAAGGCAGATTTCTTTAGGTTCCAAGAAGCATGCACTTATCCGGCCTGCAACTGTGTGGGCTGTCCGATGACCCAGGTGATGATGAGATGATGTTTGTTTGTACATAGATACCACTGGTCTGTGATCTCTTACCTACATGATGGTTCTCCCCTATTGGTGGGAAGCTGGCAGATGTATTTATATTATATCTCAAGTGGGAGGAATGTTGGTGGTAATTGTGGTGAGTGTTGAGTGTTTGTGCAATTGGGTGGTGGAAAGTGGCCGAGTGTGTGGTGATGGAGTGTGCTGTGTGTGTCAGCGTGTAGTCTGATAATGTGTACCATCATAAGGATGATGTGCTATGAGTGTGTAATAGATGGTGGTTAGGGCTTCGTCAGTGTGAAGATGGTGATAATGGGTGCACCGTGAGTGAGTAATTTATGGTTGTATGTGTGTCAACCAACATGTCATTGTCCAAGTTGTGAGTGCGCCATGGGTTTGTAGTCAGTGATGGAGAGAGTGTCAAAACATTTTTCCCAATTGTGAATGTGTTGCCAGTGTGTAGTAGGGGGTGAGGATGTCAAAATTTCTACTCATGTTTCTGAGGCTCCGGCATGAACTTGTGAACCCACATGTCAAGGATTCAAAATCTCACCCACAACTGATTCACATCAGATAGTACTGTATCTGTTATTAGGAAAACAAATGGTGTGCAATGTTTTCTTACATTTAAATTCCACTTGTCAGGGCCAATCCAGGCTGAGTGGGATACAGCTTCCCTGCAGAGAAGACAAAGATATTTGATAGAATAACTTGCCCTTGGAGGAACAGAACTCGTATCTTCTGCATGCAATAGCAAAGAGCCAAACCATTACACCAAAAACACTGGCACAATATGTATCAAATTATGTACCCCTCCTCCAAAATAATCTAGATTTCTGTGGATGAGTGAGTAAAGCATTTACCGTCAGCCTTAATTTACGTCATGTTCATTTCATCTCATAACAGTAAGATAGCCTTTTTCTTTCTAATTTTGAACTGGGTTTCTTAGAAGGTGATTCCCCAGGTCTGTGCATGTTACTATGTTACCTCAGTTAGATGAATGTATGGGCACAGTTCACAGTGAGGAAAACATGAGGGAACGTCTTGTAAACCATGACCTGTATTATGCCTGTGGGTATACATATATACACCTATAGATATATGTACATGTCTTATGGTTGTATTTACATACTTTGTCCAGTTTATACACTGATGGTCTCATGTGTTTTGTACCTGCAAAACGTGGTGTCATATTGGGCATCACCAACTGGTAAAGTATTCTCTGTCCACTTGCCAGATGTGTCGTGTGTGTGTGTATGTATGTATGTTGATGAGCACATGTTAGTATATTTTTATATCGCTGTATTTTGCAGAGTACAAGGTATCGGTACTACTTTTTTCACCAATTGAACCCATGCAATTTTTGTGTGAGTATGTCTAGGATGAAATAAACTATTTTTGCTGGTATTGGTATGATGTGAGCCTGCATGCAGATAAAATGTGTGGCTACTCTCTACATGTAGAGGTATATGTGCATACATGTTACATGTACTGTCATATTCAGGTTAGGATATGTGGGTAGACACAACATGTAACATCAAGTGTGGAGAGATTTGTGCCTTGTCCAATACATTGTGCCCCATACACATGGTCCTTTTGATCAGCTGGTATGCATTTGGTCACTTGGTGTAACCAAAACTAGTTGAAAAAACAATTTTGCTCTGTGGTTTTTGATCTTGTATGCCTTGTAATCTCCCAAATACGATTTATAAATCTGTGTGTATGTGTGTGGTATGATTGTACAAGCATATTATGTTGTCTGTCATAGTTCATCTTTGTTGACAGACTGAAATTTTAAAATTACATAATGGTGTCTGAGTGTATGTGACACAAGCATATTATTTTGTCCATAAGTATTATTTTCTTTTTCAAGCTTCAGATTGGTATGTTTTTGTTATGATGTGTGAACGAGTGTGGCACAAGCATATTATTTTGTCTTTATTATTAATGTCCTTTTGACTGACAGACAAAAATGTTTAATTGTGTGTGTGTGAGTGTGCGCGTGTACGTTCTCTACTCGAGGTTCTGTACAACTAGGATAAGTGAGCACAGTATGGTTGTGAAGGTTAGGGAGGCCCTGGTTGTGTAGTCCGAGTTTGGAAAAGTTATATGGTTTGATGCGCTCTTTAAATTTTTTTAGGTAAAATGATAAAGTTTTAAAAGAAAGTTTTGTAGATTCTACCAAGACGCAAGTTGATTTTTTCATCTTTTTTTTGTGTGTGTTGTGTGAGGATCGAGCTTAATTATTAGGGCTTGAACCTGCTCGCCAAATTTGAGAGTGGCGATTCGCGATTCAGTCGGCTTCAAAGAATCGCAAGAACGTGAGCGCTCGTGGAACTGTGGGACTCTCTTGTTGTTCCGACATCCTCTCCGCCCCACACCCAGTGTTGCGCAGCTCTATCAACTGACCTCAATTAGTGACCCCCATAAATTCACCCCCCCCCCAACTCCACGATTGGCTAAAACAATGGCTCCATAAAATTCCATCTGTCTATTGGTTGGACCCCGTTCATTTTGTTTTAATAGGGGGGTTGGACTATACCATCTTTTGTAAAATAAGGGGAGCCATACTAAGTGTTCCGTTCCGTTCTTGCGCTCGTGACTCGACTCAGCAGTAGGTTAAACAAGCCACAAGGTGGTGACAGCGACAGGGGAGTGAATCGGGAATCGTTTGGCGATACTGTTCCGCGTTTCACTGAAGTGAATCGTGAATGGCGTTCCGCAGGCAAAAATGGCAATTCAGTTCCGTTCTCGCGCTCGCGACCCAGCCCTATTTATTATGTGACTCACACAGTTTTATAGTGTTTATGGTTTCCAAATTGTTCCTGTTTGCAAGTGCAGCAATGACTTTGTAATTGTGGTCAGTTTGAGTTCTATATTTTCTTCTTAATGCACACAGCCTAATGTTTTGGAATGTTATAGGGTCTATCTCTGTATAGGTGCTGATAATTCGTAGGGTGGACAGAGCCCTCTTTTTTCATTTTTAGGTTATTGACCTTGTACAGGACTAATGAACTAATGCTGCCCACGTCTGTGTTGAGAGTTTGTACTAACCATGTTGTTCACACCTGTTGTCTGTGTACATATGGAAATCTAAGTTATTATTCTGATCTTCATACTTATCAAACATTACGTCACAGAATATTGAATAAACACTTGTGACAACATGAAGCGTTTTTCATTCTTGATACAGTACATGTTTCTATGACTCGAGTTTAACAATTTGTCTCAGCTGAAACGAGAGGTAATTATTTTATCAAGTGTCTCCCTATATCTTCTGGAAGGCTGTGTCCTTCTCTGCCTAGGTTGGCCCTGACAGGCATGGTTGAAGCAGCCTGCCTCCTGTATAGTCTAAATTGTGTTGATGGGGGCGTAATTCTTTTTAGGATTAGTCATTAACTGCCGTTACCGGAGTGTACCCGAGATGAGATTACGTAATAAAAATTGCCAAACCTGGAGGCCCTCCAGTATGGACTTTATAATTTTATTCCTATATCATCTCGGACCGCAACCGGGTCTGGCAGTTTACAGCAGTTAGGGAAGCCATTTCGCCGTGATAAATTACCACAGTTATCAGCCTTATGCTTTCAGGTTTTTTGGGGCGATTTTTTTCCTCAAGAGACCTCTGTTGTGATTTCACTAAATTAGCGGAAGAAAGTGACGATGAGCCGTTTCATGGTGTTGGATCAGACATTGAAATTAGATGTAGATAGCGATGCTGACCCATCATTTTGTGTTCGGGAAGATAAAAGAAGGCAAAGATTACCTGATTCTAGTGCTAGATCTCTCTTGTGGTGCACCAGGATCTACTTAGAAATGTAGAATCTAGATCTAGTAGTGACTCCGTGTCCACTGATATTGAATTAGACTTAGATATTTTGATCAGCCAAGCACAAGTAAGAAGGCTGCAAAGAGGTCTAGACCTAGAAAAAAATTAAAAGACTGCACAGGGAACACAGGGAAGAGATGCTAGATCTAGGCCTACAATTCACGATGCTGGTGATATGGCGGCTAGCGCACTTCATAGACTTCCTAACAAAGAACTATCATATATAATTCATTTCTACGGTAAATTATAACAAAAGTGGTGCTGTATCTGTCTGTTGTGTTTGTTTGATTGTTATTATTT